TATTATATTTTAAATAATTTTTCTATTAATTGTATGTGTGTATGTATATATATATATATATATACACACACAATTAAATCTAATTATATTATAATATTATATAATTAAATCAAAATTTTTTACTGGTTCTGAAATATTGAATAACAGGATCTCTGAAACCAATTTCTTTACACTGATATGAACCTTGTCTTACACCAAAAAAAAAAACATTTTTGAATTACAGTGTATTTAAGCTCTGCAATTGATTAACTCAACCGTCATAATGCATATTAGTTTCTGCATTGTTTGCACGATTAATGTAGACAAGAATGTATAATTTTCCAGGGTAGTGATTTAATTGCTTTTATTGATGAATGATAATCACATCTAACAGCAAGAAATTTTCAGTTTAGAGTAATTTTAATGGACAAAATATGAAATTATCCATTGCTGGCGCTCATCAGCTTTAAAAGCAGCATGTGTGCTTTCATTTTTCACAAGAATTTTCTCAATTAAATGTTTTCTTCAAAGAACTTGGGCACATTTCCTCATGTTCTTTTTCTAATCTCTATACTCCTCCATTTCAGACCATGGACGCGGTTCGAAAGGTAACGCTGTATTCTGTGGGAATGCATAATAGCTGTCTCTGGCTGCTTGCTGCATGCTTAAAAATGCACAGCAGCTTCACGATCATTTCATATTAGTGTCTACTTACAGCACCAGTAATGTCAGTTTGATCCGGAACAGAAGTATAAAAAACACAATTCAGTCCAGTTCGACCTGTGAGATGATTTGAGAAAAATAATTATTAAATAATGCAAAAAAAACAAAAAAAAAACGTAGTTTTTTATAAAATTACACTGTAAAAAATTAATTGTTCAAAGTTGTAAGTAAAACAAGGATTATAGGATTATGTTTTACAAGAAAATACTAATTTTACATTTTCAAAATTGTACATTTAATTCAATGTGTTACTTGCTATTTTTGTAATTAATTGTGAAATTTACTAGCAATTTTGAAAAACAGTTTCTACACCAAACTTTTTTCGGTGTATAATATATTAACAATTTTGCGATTTATGATTTGGTCAAAGCAATGATGTGTAATACATACAGGTACAAAAAAATTATTTATTGTTTATCAGTGTTATTTTAGTATCACTGAGATTAAGATTAAGATTATTTGTATTTATTTTTATTTTTCAGATTTCATTTCATTTCATTTTTAGTAACTTTGCTGTGTTTTTACAATTTTATAAAAAAAAATTTTTGTAAAGTCTGTATAGTTTTTTTTTTTTTCAGTTTTAGTTTGAGTTATTTTAGAACTTTAACTTAAACTAAATGAAAATGAGAAAAGAGCTGAAATAACAGATTTTTATACTTTATTTCAGTTAGTGTTTATTTCAAGTAACAAAAATGTATGTTTTAGTTTTAGTTTGTATGATAGTTGTATGATTTAGTTTATTAGACATAACTCATTAAAATATAACAAGTCTTTGCTTTCTAAATTTGAGAGAGAAGCCAATCTGTAAATGAAAACATGTTTTTTAAATGCTGTTTTTATTCCTAACTTGTCTTATATGGAAACAGCCTCTTTATAAGCCTTAGAAGATTGTGTTTTCTGCATGCATTTTCCAAAAATACCCCAAGCTTTAACGAATAACAAATTCAGCCAGCATATGGCAACTTTTAGTCCAGTTTTCAACTTAAAATAAAGTTTGACACCCCTGTTGTAATCAGAACTTAAACTGGTTAAATCAACATACCTAAAAAAATCGAGATAAAAGCTGTTATCTTTCCTCAAAAGCGCATTCAGGCTACAGATCAGAGCATCATCAGAGTGTCTGCGACATCATGCCGTTTCGTGATTATCCATTTTCAGCCTGATTTCTCCTCTCTGCTGTTATTGATATCTTGATTAGATCAAACAGAACATTTGCTGCTATTTCAATAAAGCTCTAGTCTGGACTTTCCTGCATTGAGATGGATTAGAACGGCTCGGTTGTGATTCAGACTTGTACAGGCAGTTCCTCTTCACATCCCATTGAACGGGACTGATGCATCGGGACGGCAGATCAATGCTACATGCTGAATGACTTCCATCAGCACAGCCTCTTTCAGTTTTGGAGGACATTTCTCTAATCAGAGTTTGAATTAAGGCTGTATGCCAAGAGAGGTTGTGCGTCACAGTTATTTATCATCTTTCTTTTACATTGCACATGATTTTAATGGATTGCTAATGGATGCTTACAGAACTGCACATGTTTGCTTCAAGCATGGATGATGTTGTTTATGGCAAGCCTGAAATGTAGCAATAATAATAATAATCCTGTTTCTTTCAGTAAAATTACACATCTACAGTTTAGATTATGGTATTTTAATTCAACTGTAACACATTCAAATGGTTCATTATGCTGAGCTAACAATATGTATTTTAATATTCAAGACAAGATCATGGCAGGGTGATGTAATGAATATTAATTATCAATTTTTTTAACTATATTTTCTTATGATATTTAAGTATTTGCCCTGAAATAACTTAAATTGTTGTTTTGTTTTTAAATTGAACATTTTTTAAACTACATTTTTAAATGTAAATATTTTAATTTTTTATGTTTATTTAATTTTGCAAACAATATGTATTCAAATATTCAAAGCAAGATCAAGCCCAGGTGATATAACTAATATATTACTAATTTTTAATTATATTCTTCTTATGATATTTAAGTATTTGCTCTGAAATGCCTTAAATCGTCATTTTGTTTTTGAATTTAACATTTTTATATATTTATTTATTTTACATTTTTAAATGCATTTTAATATTTATTTCATTTTATTCAAATAATGTAATAATAATGATGATGATTAATTAATATTTCAATATTATTGTTCTCAAATATCGAAATAAAAGCTATATTTACCTGCATATAATTTTTATTTAAACATTTGAAAATATATAATGTTGCTATATCACCCAGCCTTGTGCAAGATGAGCAAGAATAAACAAAATAGTCTCTGATATTCACAGGCTCTTCTTTACTCTTTACCTTCAGGTCCGTTTAACCATCTGAAGTCCAGTCTGCTGGGATCGACCTCAGACTCCAATCTGAACAAATACAGCACCATCAACAAGATCCCGCTCATCGCACTCAACTTCTCTGAATCCAACGATAAGAAAGCGCCTTCCCCTCCGTCCTCGGAGAAAACCATCATCGCACCAAAGGTCAAGGACAGAACACACAACGTCACTGAGAAGGTCACACAGGTAAGACTGTTTGAAGTCAACATGAATGCAAAACTCACTATATTAAAGGGGTGGTTGATTATGATTTCCCTTTTTGAACTTTAGCTAGTGTGTAATGTTGCTGTTAGAGCATAAACAACATCTGCAAAGTTACGATGTTCAGAGTTCAATGCAAAGGGAGATATTTTCTTTTAAAGAGGTCATACGATGCTGCTAAAAAGAACATTATTTTGTGTATTTGGTGTAATGCAATGTGTTTATGCGGTTTAAGGTTCAAAAAACACATTTATGCACCAAGAGCTTGTAACACTCCAAAGAGAAAGGAAAAATTGAAATCGCATCATATGACCCCTTTAAAGAAATCACTGTTTAAGGACTACAGAAAACGGCTGGTAGGGACTACAATGAGCTTCTTCCTGGGTTTGTGACATCACTAACCCCGATGTTTACATAAACCCCGCCCCCGGGAACACGCAACTACCCGTAATGGTAAGGGGGCGTGGCGTTTCCGGACAACGTGCACTAGGCGGTTAACGAATCACAAACACACTGAGCCCGCTAACCAATCAGAGCCCATTGCGTATTTCTGAGGGAGGGGCTTCATAGAACCAGGATCTCAACAGACCGTTTTGACGAGAATGGAAACAGCGGTGTAGAATAAAGGTAAAATATGTGAAAATAATGTTTTGTTTTGTTTTGTTTTTTTAAATGAAGCATGAACACGTTACACTGCATCCCATAAACACAATCAAGCTTTCGAAAAAAGTTGATCAACCACCCCTTTAAATAAAAACCATATTTCGTTTCTTTATACACGCTTCTGGTCTTATTGTGACCGATTCCTCAGTGCACATTACTCCAAAGACAAAAATACTCACTAAGGTTGCATAAAAATACAGTAAAAACCATAACATTGAATGAAAATGAAATAAAACAAACATTAACATTTAACAATTTTTATTTATATTTAAACTTTAAAAAAACCAAACAACAAAATTACTAAAACTTCAACTAAAATAAAAATGAAAACGCAAAATCTTAAAATAAAATAATATATTATGCTTAATATTTGTGTGGAAACTGTGAATAGAAAGTCCAAAAGAACAGCATTTATTTGAAATAGAAATCTTTTGACACATTATAAATGTCTTTACTGTCACTTTTGATCAATTTAATACATCCTTGCTGAATAAAACTATTCAATTCTTTTTTGATCAATTTAATGCATCCTGGCTAAATAAAGCGATTAAATTCTTTCAAAAAAATAAAAAAATAAAATCTTACTGACCCCAAACTTTTTAGAGGGTATAGTGTATTTATTAACATTAACAGTATTAACATTACTAACATTTCTATTGCTTCGTCTACCATGTTCCATGCATTTTTTTTTTTTAGATTTATCCATTAAAATCACATGCAATGCTGCCTGAAAGTAGTCTTACCTTTAGTAACCTTACGCAATAACATGCCTATAATGCCTTAAAATGCTGTCTAGTTAGGTGGCTTGCTAGTTTTTGGAACAGAGCTAGTGTGCAAACACACATCTAGCTTCATAGATTAAAGGGGAAAGTTCAATTTACACTCGAGTCTCTCACACAGAAACTGCCGCAGTGCTACTGAATTGTGTTTTGGCAATATTTGGAGATCCATTTCCCAGAGGTGGTAGAAAATCCATTTCCATGCTCAGATGCTCTTTTGATGCATTTCGGTGTCAGAAAAAGATGCTAAATATGGTTGAGGTAAGAAAGGAGATCGGAGCGAGGACGTGACACACGGACTCTGAATAATTACTGCTGGTTGCCCTGTATTCTTGCTCTCATCTTAATATCCCTGAGGTTAAGTAGTATCCTCATTAGCATTTATTTGCATACACATGTCTGTTAGCATCATTTAATCTTGGCTATATAGTGGAATTATGCAGGAGAATTTGTTACAGCTTGTTTGTGCTCGTCCACAAGACTATTGGATTTCCAATCGAATCATGAAGCACTTGACGCGTGCAGTATTTCAAACACATTACGCTGGCGACACATTGATTAACTCAAACTCCACAGAGGAGAAATAGAGCAGAAGCACATCCTCACCTGAGGGTCTTACTGAGAAACATGAAGGAAAAACTACCGATTTTACTCTGTTAAATCAATGTGAAACGTTCATAACCGAGCACGTCGGTGCTGTTATTTTGAACTTTCTATTCACCAAAGATTCCTGAAAAATAAAATGTCTTGCAGTTTCCACAAAAAATATGAAGCAGCACAACTGTTTTCAACACTGATAATGATATTCATGTTTCTTGAGCAGCAAATCAGCATATTAGAATGATTTCTGAAGGATCACGTGACACTGAGGACTGGAGTAATGATGCTGAAAATTCAGCTTTGCATCACAGGAAGAAATTACATATGAACATATATTCAAATAGAAAACAGCTATTTTAAATTATAATATTTCACAATATTACAGTTTTTGTTGTATTTTTTACTGTATTTTCTTAAATAAATACAGTCTTGGTAAGCAAAAGAGACTCAAAAAAAACAAAAAACTATGTATAATTCATTCAGTACTGAGAATTATCAATAAACCTAGTTCAGCCTAATTAAAATTGGCTATTTTACCCAATATTTGTATGTGCATTTTATGCTTCAAGCTTATCAGCATGCTGATGTCAAAATCAAATGATACATTTGCATGCTGTGCTATTTGGACAGCTGCCTTTAAATCAGTCACTTATTAGGTGCCATTTCAGTTAGGATGCTGTGATGGAGGGTAGTCGCCTACGTGGGCAGTGCTTAAAGGTTAAAGACTTCTGTAAATGTCCTTCAGTGAAAGTCAAAGTAACACACAGTTCTGGGTCAAACCGTGTAACGGGTTCGTCTTTTGACCAGCCGTGACAGAAGTCGATGACAGCCCATCCGAACGACACGAGTCCTCACTTTGGAGTCGTCGACTCGTTCACTGCGGTCATTTGGCTTGTTACGTCTGAGTGATTCTCACATTACCTTCCCAGACCTGCCTGGACGTGTGAGAGCCTGCGAGAGAAAAATATACATAATTTATCACTTTCTTAGAAGAGAAAGAGAGAGAACAATCGACTAGGGCAACTGATTACTGCTGCCGCCGTCATAATTTCTAATTAAGTATTTATCAGGAAAAGACGCCTCATTTGCTGACTGTCAAAGGTGGTTAAATCCTGCAGTAAGGTGTGTGTGTGTGTGTGTGTGTGTTCATTCAGAGCTCGATTACACAGACACACTGCTGGATTACAGACT